GGTCCCGGGTTTGATTCCAATCACGGGCACATACTTCGGTTGCAGGCTGGCCCCTGCGGGAGGCAACCAATTGATGTGTCTCTCTCACATCAATGTTTTTCTCTCTCTCTCTCCCTCTCCCTCCCACGCTCTCTAAAAATCAATGGAAAAAATATCCTTGGGTGAGGATAAAAAAACCAAAAAGATATGGGAAGTTGAAGCAAAGAGAATTCTACACAAAAACACCTTGCTAAAATATTTATCAAAAAATAAAAATAATGCCGAAACCGGTTTGGCTCAGTGGATAGAGCGTCGGCCTGCGGACTGAAGGGTCCCAGGTTCGATTCCGGTCAAGGGCATGTACCTTGGTTGCGGGCACATCCCCAGTGGGAAGTGTGCAGGAGGCAGCTGATCAATGTTTCTCTCTCATCGATGTTTCTAACTCTCTATCTCTCTCCCTTCTTCTCTGTAAAAAATCAATAAAATATATTTAAAAAAAATAAAAATAAAATAAAATAAAATAATCTTCCTTTAGCTTCCCACCTACTTTACTTTTCTACAATTGCCCCTCTTTCTTCAACCTAGTATAAAACCATTTAGTTTTGCCACTTCTTTGGGCCTTCATTTCCTTATGAGGGCGCCATGTCACACAAACCTTGTATTAAATGCACTTTTATGCTTTTCTCCTACTAATATTTTTTGTTTGCTTGTTTGTATTTTTGTTTTTGTTTTGTTTCTTTTTGCTAATATGTTTTATGTCAATCTAATTCTTAGGCCCAGTTGAAAACATTAAGGGAGTAGAGGTAAAATTTTGCCTCCCCTATAATGATTACACAGTGACCCTTTCAAAGTTGGAAATGTAAAGAAGATAGTGCTCCTTTTGCTTGAGTGAGAGCATAAAGCAGTGGTTCTCAACCTTCTGGCCCTTTAAATACAGTTCCTCATGTTGTGACCCAACCATAAAATTATTTTCGTTGCTACTTCATAACTGTAATGTTGCTACTGTTATGAATCATAATGTAAATATCTGATATGCAGGATGGTCTTAGGCGACCCCTGTGAAAGGGTCGTTCGACTGCCAAAAGGGGTCGCGACCCACAGGTTGAGAACCGCTGGCAGAAAGTGTCCTGGAGCTGAGAAAAAGGCAGGGGCATTGGTGTGGGATGGGGTGACATAACCCTCTGGAGTCTTCTCATTTTTAAGAATGGGGTCCATGTGGTGGGATGGTTCTGAGGGCAGTTTATTGAAAGTTACAAGTTTACCTTCTACGGGGGTAATGGCAGATGATGTCAATAGAGTCTTTCATACATGAAAATAGAGATGTGTGCAGGTTACATTTCCATTCAAAAAGCCAACTTTTTGGCCCTGGCCGGGTAGCTCAGTTGGTTAGTGTTGTCCTGACACACCAAGGTTGTGGATTCGATCCCCTGTCAGGGCACATACAAGAAGCAACCAATGAATGCACAAATAAGTGGAACAACAAATTGATGTTTCTCTCTCTCTCTCTCTCTCTCTCTCAAATCAATAAAAATTTTTTTTAAAAAATCCAACTTTTTAACGCATCTATTGTTGCTGCAGATGCTGAGAAACAAACTGGTTTAACACAAATACTTGGAAATACGAATTAACAGCAGAGTGAAGGCTTTCTAAAGCAAAGTTGATAAGCAAGCTGCAAGGACCAGCAGTGCCCACAGGGTACAATTTATAAAGCTTCCGGGCAGGTGTTCAGAGTCCCTGACCACGTCTAGTTGTGCAATGCAAAGTGATAGAGGAGTCTGTGTTCAATCCAGAGTCAGCAGTATAAGGTTCACAACTTTACACTGAACATTTTTTAAAATATATTTTTTATTGATTTCAGAGTGGAAGGGAGGAGAGACAGAAACATCAATGATGAGAGTGAATCATTGATTGGCTGTCTCCTGTACTATTGGGGATCGAGCTCGCAACCCGGGCATGTGCCCTTGACCGGAATCAAACCTGGGACCCTTCAGTCCGCAGGCTGACACTCGATCCATTGAGCCAGACCAGCTAGGGCATTACACTGAATTTTTGATGGTTCAGGTTACTGATTTGCGGTTGGTCACATTTTCAGATGAATCAATTCACTTGTCCAATTTGTATTTATTTAGAACCCAGTAATGAGAATAAGCATGGCCTATTTGGGCTTGTGGAAGCATACATGAAGTGAGATTTTTTTTCGTGTCATGCACTGAGCTATAGCCCACCCTCACATCATCTCATTTAATCCTCACATCACCTCTTTGATGTAGCTATCATTATCTCTGCTACATGGAGGAGAAAATGGGGGCTTAAGGAGATTAAGGAACTCGATCCAGGTCACTTAGCAAACAAGTTGTGCAGCCAAGATTTCAATCTAGAGAGGGCCCCTAATAACCAGTTTGAACTTTATTGTAATACTAGAGGCCCAATGCACAAAATTTGTGCAAGGGGCTCAGCCCCTGCCACCGAGGCCGAAGGATGTCCGGTCTAATTAGCATATTACACTTTTATTATTATAGACTAGAGGCCCGGTGCATGAAATTCATGTGTGTGTGTGGGGGTGTCCCTCAGCCCGGCCTGCACCCTCTCCAATCCAGGACCCCTTGGGGGATATCTGACTGCCGGTTTAGGCCCGATCCCTCTTCCAGTCTGGGAACACTGGCTCCTAACTGCTCACCTGCCTGCCGGCCTGATCGCCCCTAACTGCCTCTGCCTCGCTCCCTGCCACTGTGGCTTTGTCTGAAAGGAGGACCGGACAACCGGAAGATATCCGGCCGATCTGGTCTAATTAGCATATTAACCTTTTATTAGTATAGATAATATTGTAATTCTGTAGATCTACAGACCTTTTTGGTTCTCCAACTCGGGAATGACTTGATTAAAATGAACAGAAGGAAGAGCTGTCTGGTGGCATATTACAGGATTCACAGGAGGAGGAAAGAACTGGATTGCAGGGAGATCAGATAGAAGGTTGTGGCAGCCATGCAGGCCCTAAAGATGGAGTGATTAGAGTTTGGAACTAGAAAACCTGGTTCCAGCCCATCTCTACCATGATGCTGCTGACTGGGGTACCTCAGGCAAGTTACAGCCACCACATCTCTGGAGCTTTCTTACACCTCCCTAAATAATGGGTTGGTAAATTGAGATGCCAAAATCTCTTGGTTCTTTCAAATTCTAAAATTCTGCCTGATGCCTTTAAATTTAATGCATTCTAAAGATTTATATATGAAGGCCCTAAATATCATCTGGAATCCAAGAAAGAATTTAGATGTCATAATTCTTAACATAGTTTTCAAAGTACAAAAGAGTAAAATTGTTTTTAAGAAGGTTTTCTAAACCAGACAAGCCAATTGTTTCTGCACCTTACTGTTTCCTTTGTTTAAGAAAATGATTTGGGTATTGCTGCTACAGCAGTGGTTGATGAATCAAATAGGAATATTACTCTGGAAACAAATGAAATGATTTAAATCCATCTCTAAGAAATGTTGGAGGCACAAATTGTATTGCCATCATATTAATTTGTTTTCTGAGCTCATATTTAATTCAAAATGTGATATTCCTTTAACTGGTCCAATCAACAGAGTTTAGAGCGATTTTAGATGGAGAACACAGGAAATAAATACAGTACTGTTGGAGCAAATAATCAACAAAATAATTGGTCTGTATTCTGTGGCTTGTGATGCTTCTAGAAAGTATTTTTAACAATTCCCTGAGGAATTGGCTCTTGTTGAAGCCAGGCTCTTCTCTCAACTCACATCTGCAAACTTTTCTCCATCCTCTTCTGCTATAACAAATCAGTGTCCAGGCTCTGCTGAGCCCTCGGCCTCCGTGTTTCCTTTCTCATCTACGAAGACTTGGGGATGGGGTTTTCATTCCTGGGTTGCAGAAATGGACTTCTCCTTAGACTAACCCAACAGGCAAAGGAATCTTCCTTTAATAAAGGCCATTTATATGATTAAAACCTTCTAGGATGAAATCTAAATTCTGCAGTTGAGATCCCCATCCTTACAGCCAAGCGAATGCATTCATTCGCTTTCTCTAGACTTTAATCCTTCACATCTGAGAGTTTTCTCCTTGGAATGCTCCGTTCTTTCAGCCAGCTCATGATCATCACCTCCTTTGATTCTATCCTGAAACTCACTTCCTTCAGGATGTTTTCCTGGCTTAGTAGCTACTTAGCAAAGAAACAACTCCTACTTTTGAGCTTTCAATCATATTAAATACTTTTAAGATAAATTATTCGCACCTAGGGGTACATAACTTATAGATTTTCATTCTTTAAGAAACCACCCACCAATAAACTAAAAAATAAATAAACAAGTAAATAAATAAATAAAAGTAAAAAGGAAAGAAACCATCCAAACAAAATAGAAACAGCAGAATCACAGATACATAGAACTGACTGACAGCTGGGGGGGGGGGGGGGGAGTTGGAGGCCTGGATGAAAAAGGTAAGGGATTAGACAGAAAAAACACACCAAAACTCACAGACACAGACAACAATATGGTGATCGTCAGAATGGAAGGGGGCGCAGGGGGATGTGGAAGAGGGCAAAAGGGGGATAAACGGTGGCAGAAAGAGACTTACTTTGGGTGGTGAGCACAGGATGCAGTACGTAGATAGTGTCATTGAGTTGTACACTTAAAACCTGTATGGTTTTATTAACCAATGTCATCCCAATAATTTAATTTAAAAAAAGAAAAGCAAAGAAACCACGTAGTGATTTTTTTTTTTTTACTTTCTGAGAGAACACTCCCAATTTTCAGGTGTCTTCTCCGCCCTCCCCCGCCCCCCTTCAGGAATCCATACTAGACCTAGAGCAAAATGACTCTTTTTGGTGACCTCTAGTGGGCACGAGACAATCCTACAAAATTACGAAAAGTGAAGGGCAAAGTAGAACCCTTCTTAGTAACCAGCTGGGTTACTCTCAGGTCAGATGACCGCACATCCCACCCAGCTCCACCCTTATTTTTTCTTCCAGTATTTGTTTTGCATTTAACATCGTTTGCCTTACGACTCACCTGTTTCAGCTCTGCGCGGGCTGGACTGCCGGTGTCAGATGTCGCGTGAATTGCTGGGAGCAGTTTAAAACAATCCCGGCCAAGAGGAACCCATTGTCTAGGCATGGACCAGAGCAGAGCACAGGGCAGTTCGCCCTGCGGAGTCTTCAGGGGTTCTTAGAGCTCCAAAGGCGGGTGCTGCAGCCAGCTTTGGGGTGCGCGGGGGCAATCAGGACTTTATGAAAAGGAGGGTGCAGACGAAGGCAATGAGCAACTCTGTTCTTGCCGATGGCAAGGCGATTCTCCCCAGACTTTCACCCCACTCTACAGCAAGAGTCACGATGGGGTCCGGGCGCTCTACCTGCAGGCGCCCTCTTAGGACCGGTGCCCCAGAAAGCGGGGGCCGGGGCCATTCTCCTCCGCGGGAGAGTGGCACCGAGGTTGGGCGTTGGGGTGTGTGGCCGCCCTCGGAGCACGCGGTACGTGATCTCCGCGCCGGGAGAGGAAGAGCAAAGTCGGCAAGGAAAGCAATTGCTGGGGTATCTTCTCTGAGAAATCAGAAACCGAGCTGTGTTCTGGATAGTTTCTGGAAAAAGCTCTCGTTTCAAACGCCGTCTGTCCCCGCCCCTCCAATCCCGCACCCCAGTCCTCACCCGTGCTTACCACGTTCCCTCCCTTTGGGGGCTGATAACGGGCTCTTGGGTACTGTCCAAGCCATCCCGATGGCCCCGGGCGGGACGCGGGAGCAGGTATCCCAGCCGCGGGGCTTGGCTCCCCCCTCCACCCGGGGGCTCCCCGCTCCTCACCTCCCCGCCCCGCGGACCCCTCCCGGCCACTGCGGGAGCGGAGAGGGAGGACGGCGTCACGAGGCGGGGAGCCCGAGGTCCAGGGCGGGGCGCCGGGGAATCCCAGCCGGAGCGAGCCCGGGAGGTGCGGGCGCGGGTGGGAAGAGGAGGGCGGCGCGCGTTGGGAGGTGAGCCGAGCGGAGCCGGGAGCCGAGGAGGCCCCGCCCCCGCCTCTCCGAGCCGGCTCCTCGCCGCCTCCGAAACCGCTCACTTTGCTTCTCGCCTCTGGACGGCGGCGGGGCGGTTGCCACATCCGCGTTCGGAGGGAGCGCCGAGGACCTGGAGCCATCCCGCGCCAGCTTCCCCTCTCGGCGCCCGCGCCCCTCCGGGGGGAACAGCGACCCCGCCTTGGAGAGGACACCCCGGCCTCTGCGGGGCGACCTCCCGGTCGCGAGGGGCGGCGGCTCTGAGCCTCGGTCGCCGCCAGCGGGGTGCAGAGCTGACGCCGGAGGGGACTCCCGGGACACCTGCAGGTACCGCGGCGCGGAGGGAGTGTCTCTAGGAGCGACGCTGGGCCGCCGGGGAGGCGAGAGCCCAGGGGTCCCCGGGTCGGCATAGAGCAGAAGAGGAGCGCGAGGCAGAGCGGGCCAGACCGCGCGCGGGCCCCGACGGCGCGCTCCTGGGTCGGCCCGCGGCCGGCAGACCCTGCGCAGCGGCGAGGGGGCGGCGGCGGCGCCCTCGGGCCTCGGGGCTTCGGGGCGGCCAGCCATGACCTTCGGGCGCAGCGGGGCGGCCTCCGTGGTGCTGAACGTGGGTGGCGCCCGGTACTCGCTGTCCCGGGATTTGCTGAAGGACTTCCCGCTGCGCCGCGTGAGCCGGCTGCACGGCTGCCGCTCGGAGCGCGACGTGCTCGAGGTGTGCGACGACTACGACCGCGAGCGCAACGAGTACTTCTTCGACCGGCACTCGGAGGCCTTCGGCTTCATCCTGCTCTACGTGCGCGGCCACGGCAAGCTGCGCTTCGCGCCGCGGATGTGCGAACTCTCCTTCTACAACGAGATGATCTACTGGGGCCTGGAGGGCGCGCACCTCGAGTACTGCTGCCAGCGCCGCCTGGACGACCGCATGTCCGACACCTACACCTTCTACTCCGCCGACGAGCCGGGCCGCGAGGAGCCGCGAGCCGGCGGCGCCGAGGCGGCCCCCTCCAGGCGCTGGCTGGAGCGCATGCGGCTGACCTTCGAGGAGCCCACCTCGTCGCTGGCCGCCCAGATCCTGGCCAGCGTGTCGGTGGTGTTCGTGATCGTGTCCATGGTGGTGCTGTGCGCCAGCACACTGCCCGATTGGCGCGCCGCGGCGGCCGACAACCGCAGCCTGGATGACCGGAGCAGGTACTCCGCCGTCCCTGGGAGGGAGCCCTCCGGGTAGGACGCACTGCTTCTTTGCCCGTTGCGTCCGTCCTGTCACGTCTGTCCGTCCCGGTCCTCGTCGGTCGCGTCTCTGTCCTGTATGCCTCGGGGCGGCCGAGCCAGTCTAGGTTTGGGGCCCAGCGAAGCCCCGGGCGCGGCCAGCAAGGGACGGGTTGGTGCTCACTCCCCATCCCCATTTCCCCGGCACGAGGGAGCGGCTCCGGTACATATCAGACGCCCCTCTCTTGGGTGACTCGCCAGGCATGGAGAGGGGTAGGTAGAGACAAGCCTCCCATCTTTGTCGTTTACTTTTGAGCAGTTCCCAACCGGTTAGTTAGGTTTCTGCAAACTTTTATTGGTAGGATTCGACAATTTAAAATTGAACCGAGAGCAGTTTGAATTATCTGCCGATTTGGGGTGGTATTTGAAAAGACGGTCTTGTTATTGTGAATGAGGTCTGCTCTACACTGTCCACACATTCTATGCACGCTGCTTAAAATGTCCTGTAATGGAATTGTTATGTTTGAAAGGAGATTGACTTAACTATAGACTCAGTCTAAGTAATGGATGTCATGCTCTTCTCTCTCCTTCTTCCCTACAAAGAATGGAGTTCACAGAGCGCCTGCCCACCATTGGGTACCAAAGATTTCACACTGTGACACGCAGAGGGATCTTCAGTGTGGAGAGGGGGAAAAACATCACATCACCTTGGGAGAGGAGAAACATCTAAACTGCTCCAAATCCAGAACCAGTATTTGAGTAGTTAATTTTTTTTTTAACTTTACTAGGATGAAAGGAAAATATTGAAATCTTTCCTTAGATCAACATTGGCTGAGTAAAGTTGGACTTTTAGAGGAGACTGCCTGTTTGGGCACAAATACAGAATTGCTTGTTTTGTTTTACCTTTGATACTGTTTTAAGATACCCCTCAACCCTTTTTTAAATTAGGTTGCGCCAGTTAATCTTTTCCTGATAGGCATGTGCATGTTTCTAATGGTGTTATTTCTCTGCCTTGATATTGCAGTGGGTGTTTTCCACATAATATTCTTCCTTTGGAGAGGAAACATTTTTTTTCTTATAAATCTGAGAAGTAAATAAAATTGTCTAGTACCATGGAGTGCATTACTGATATCTTGGCATGAAATCCAAGATACATGCTTTGGAAGGAAATTCATTAGAAAACTAATTTTGTTTAATGTATTAGGTTTTGAGTTTTCAATTTATCAATAAGAATTACTTATTTGGTACTACAACAGCACAGTTAAATTAATTTAGATACCTAAATACGTAAGTGCCTTTGATTCTTTTAGAGGGCCATAGGAAAATGATTGGCCTTGAAATGATTCATTAGTAATTGTAGAATTCTATAGTTAGTGAAGGTTTAAGCTACATTAGCAAAGGAAGCAGGAGAAATGAGTTAACTACGAATGTCTAGGGGAGTTGGCTAAACCAGTAATAAGCAAAAACAGTCAAATAAGCTGAATAATAATTTTTTGGGGGTGGGGTGCTTGGGGAGAAGGGAAGGGCAGTCTGGAGAGCTTAATGTAAAGCATTTGGAAAGAAATAGGAGACAAGGATAATAATGGAAGGGAGAGAAAGAAAGGGGGGAGAGAGAGAGAGAGAGAGAGAGAGAGAGAGAGAGAGAGAGAGAGAGAGGCAGAGAGAGACCAAAAAGGGAAGAGACAGATGGAAAAGAAGAAGACTGCAAAAGAAGTGAAGAAAGAAGATAAGAGTACTGCTTAATTTGTGTATATGTATTTCATGTATGTATATAATTATTCAAGTCAGAACTGTTTCCTAGATACGCAGATATTTCAGGCAAAAGCATCTTTTTCTTGGCTTAATGGCCCAGTTTTAAGCTTCACTTTGATGGTAGGTATATGGAAATCAGTATCTGTAATGCCAAACAGGTCAACTGAAGGATGACTGGATGACTGAGGAGGTTGCACATTACAGAGGGACCCTCCACAGGCCTCCTCCAACCCCGAGGGCCCTAAACTGGCACTATATCTCAACGCCTGCTTGCTTATGGTTGCTGAAATTAGTCTTTCTAAAACAACATTCTGATCATTGGTTATATTTGACATCTACCAAATAAAGTCAGAACTTCTGTCTTGGCCTTCAAGGCTAATGTCACAATATGTCTTCTTTTTTTCTTTCTTTAACAGCCCATTGTAATTTTTTTTTAAAAAAATATATTTCATTGATATTTTACAGTAAGTAAGGAAGAGGGATAGAGAGTTAGAAACATTTAGCCCATTGTAATTTGCAAGAATCTTTTGAGTATCTGCTGTGTTCAAGGCATAGTTGGTGTTTCAAATATTGTAACTTTTTTTTTAAAGAAAAGGTGTCAAGTTGGTGATGTAGGAATCAGAGAGTTGACCAACAGTTGAGTTGTTCAGAGAAGGCCTTCAAGGTGTGGGAGGATGGAAACAAGCCATCTTTGGAAGGTTGAAGAGGTTGTGCACTGCCCAACATAGGAGAAGGTATTATTTATATAAACTACAGTGTTCGCAACCTGTACAGCCATGTGTGCCACCTGGGAACGAAATAAGGAGAATTTTCCAGGTGAAAGAAACAGCATGGACATAGGCTTGAAATTTGTATAATATGTTCAGTGGGTATGAATCCAGTGAAGGAGTGAGAGGTCGATGAGAGCAGATGCTAGAAGGGCTGTAATGAGAGGGTGAATAGTTTTGTTTTACAAGCAGTGGTTAGTCTTTGATGGGTTTGGGGTGACTGGGTTATGTGTGTAAAATGACATCAGGAGTTTTGCACTGTTGATTGGAGATGGGGGAGATTGAAAACAGGAGGATGAGTTTGGAGATCTATCCAGAGGAGGGAATGAGAGCTTGGATTGCTTTGAGGTAGTGAGAATGGAGAAGAAATGACAACTCTGGGAGATATTAGGAAGAATCAAAATTAATCTAGGGCATTGGAAGGATACAGGCTCAGGGACTGATTAAATGGGCTTCTAGGAGCTAGGAGTACTTCCGCCACCTGCAGGCTCCATTTGTCCAGACTGGCCTGCTCCCTTGTTCCCAGACCATACTGTGCATTTCCTTGCCTATTGAAACTGGATCATACATCAAGCCCAGCTCAGATGCTATTTCTCTTTTGAAGCCTTTTCTGATTACCCTAGTAAATGTGATTTTCCTTCTGAATTTCTTGAGGGATTGCTTACTTGTGCTACTTATTTGGCATCTATAATATCCTTTCTAGCATGGTCATTATTTTTTCAAATAAACATGTCCTAGCTCCTAAACTAGATGAGTTGAAAATCCCTAGGAGGCAGCTAAATTCTCTTATACTATTTATTATGAGAGCATCTTCTAGGGAAAAAAATGTTTATCCCAGCACAATAAATACTACTGTTTATATTACATTTCAGAATATAACCTTCCAGGAATATATCTTCTCTTGCAGAGATTGAAGAGCTGTGTGGAATAGGGCTGTGGCCTTCGGATGGCCCACGTCTTAGTTGAGGACAGTGGGATCCTGTGCTAGAGTGAGAAAAGTCTATTAAATCAAAGAACAGTTATTTATGATGTACTTACTGTGCAAAAGAAGTAACAATATGATTTCTTTTTATCGGCTTTTTGAAATTGTGGAATGGCACACAATCTGAAGTTTGGAAGAAATCTTGAGAGGTTTTTCAAATCAGTAATTTAAAAAATCTGTGGATGGATATGGTCTTTTAAATTGATTGGGTTTAAATGATAGTTTAAAGCCCATAAGCTACCAAAGCAAGCCTTTCTCCATTACCCACCCATTCAGTTCTTTCATGCAACCAAAGTTATTTTCTGTCATTTCAAAGACATTTTATATATTTACAAAGCATATCATATATATTTTCAAAATAAACAAACAAACAAAAAACCCACAGCATGATAACACTGCCCTGAAACTTGCTTTATTAACTAACCAACATGTCATGGAAATTGTTCCATCTACATATATAAAAGCCTAAGTGACCGTTCGACCTTTCAACTCGTAGCTGTGACATGCAACTGACCACCAGGGAGCAGATGCTCAATGCACAGGCATGGAAACATGGAACAGACTGATGAATCTCAGAGGGAAGGGGGAAAGGGGAGGATGAGAAGAGATTAACCAAAGATCTTATATGTATACTAGAGGGCCGGTGCACGAATGATTTGTGCACCTGTGGGGTCTCTAGGCCTGGCCTGTGGGGATTGGGCTGAAACCGGCAGTCTGACATCCCTTGAGGAGTCCCGGATTATGAGAGGGCCTTTAGTATGAGTATAAAGAGCTGTCTGATTCTCTTATACAGCTGCATAATATTCCTTTGTGTAGAATAATTTCTAGATATTTGTATTGTTTCTTGTGTGTAGGATATGCTGTAGTGAATATCCTTGTGCATGTGCATTATTTTGCTTTTATGAAAGTATATCCATAGGCTAACTTCCTGAAAGTTAAGTCATAGGGCATGTACACTTTTAATTTTCATAGATAATTCCAAATTGCTCTAAAAAATATTATATCAGTTTATACTTCCACCAGCAATATGTGAGAAAGTATATTTCTTCATAATCTACAAAGTGTCAATTGTGCTTTTATTCTTTATCATGCTGAAAGGTGAAAAATGATATCTAGTAGCTATAATTTATTTTTGCCTTATTTTGAGTAAAAGTACATCTTTTTAAAAAATACTTTTATTGATTTCTTTTAGAGAGAGAGGAAGGGATGTGAGAGCAAAACATCGATCAGCTGCCTCCCACATGCTCCCCACTGGGGATCGAGCCAGAAACCCTGACATGTGCCCTGACCTGGAATTGAACCAGCCACCTCTCTGTTTCCAAACAGCTGAGCCACACTGGCCAGGGCAAATTGTGCATCTTAACATTTATTTCGGGGGTCCTTTATCTTACCTTTTGGTGAGCTGTTTTACCTCTTGTCATTTTTGTCAATGACTTTCATAGTTAGAAGATTAAAAAAAAAAAGAAATTAGCCCTTTGTTTATGATATGAATTGCAAATATTTTGTTCTCTCAT